TCAGATAAATTGAAATGATTAAAAATTACGAGAAAATTCATGTTCTTTTTTATCACATTACATAATACAAAAGTCTATTTAAACAAAAATTTTAACATTAAAAAATTTGTTCACAGAACTAAATTTATAAAANATATATAGATTTATATATATATATTCTTGTCATTGATTTTGTCTAAATATCTTTCAAAAACACTTGTGTCTAAAAATTTAAAGTGCAGAGTGGCATGAGCCTGTTCAGTCTAAACTTTCAAATTGCTGAAAATGCTTTATCATAATTAATGTGGGTGAAAATTATGACAAAGACTGGTCACATTAACAAAGGGAAAAATAGTTAGAGCCTGCTCAAACTATGTGTTTAATCTGTGGCAAGAATTTAAACCAAGTGAAGATGCTAACAAAATGCTCAGTTCAGAATTACGAAAGTTTATAGGGTTAAAAGTGATTAAAATTAAAACAAAACCCTTTCAGCTTAAAGACTGCTCCTTAATTTTGGACACGAAAAATTCATTTTGCAAAACAGTCTTCCGACAGAAGCTGTTGTTGGGGCTAGCATAACACTTAGGGCAAATAACTTAATCAGTTTGGGAATTTGCCTCAGATGGTGCTCTTCCTTTCCTGATTTTTAAATTGCGTGAATAAAAATTGCTAGGTTTAATTTTTAAATTGCGTGAATAAAAAAATGCGATGTGTGGTTTTTAAATCACGTGAATACGAATATAGATGGGTGACTTTCTAAATTGAGAGAAGACTCACAACATATAATTTTAAAACGCATGAATATGAATCTTTATGTGTGGTTTTTAAGTCATGTGAATATGAATCGTAGTGTATGATTTTTGAATTGCGAGAAGAGTAACAATGTATGATTTTTTAAACGCCAAAATATAAAACTCGATTAACCTCGTTAATACGAATCGCGACGAATGTTTTTTAAAAATCTTGTTAACATGCCATGTGCGATTTTTAGATTGGGTGAATATGAATTATGATGTGTAACTTCTAAATTGTGAGAAGAATCAAAACTTATGACTTTTAAAACATGTTAAATTTGAATAAGAATAGGTTGGGAATATGTTGTTAAACTTGCTCGTGTTCATGGGACTAAAGAATTATTCATGTGTATTGAATTATTTTACTGCAAAAGGGACCACGCTTCATATAAATTTTACACATCATTTGTTTTTGATTCTCTCTGGGAAGGTGCCGATTTTGCTAAGACATGTAATCACTTTTTAAGTTACAAAATAATTTAAAACAGATTTAAATTTCACGAGTTGTGTAATATATTGTATTAAAATATCAGGATATTGAAAATCACAAGTAAAAATGCTGCAATAACAGTCAAAAAAGAAAATTTTCCTAAAAACTCTTATATTTATGTTAAAATTGGCACAAATAGAACACATAAAATGTGATTATTTTAAAGCGCTATTCAAAACTCGCGTGACGTGAAATTAAAGTATTTAAAATAGCAGAATTTTTTAAATCACAGGGAAAATCGCAGTACTAACTACCTGAAAAATATTTAAATTCTTTTATATTTACAATGAAATCGGCATAAATAAGCTGCATTAAAAGTGATGTATTTAAAAGCGGGATTCAAAATTAAAGTGTTGTAATAGCGTATAAAAAAATATCGGGACTTCAAAAACCTTGTAGAAAGACACAGCAATAATTTCCAAAATAACGATTGATAAATAATTTGATTTGGCATAATATCGGCACAAATAAACCATGTTAGAAAATAGCTATCTAAACGAGTGATTCGTTACTCGCGATTTTAAAAACCACGCGGAAATGCATAGCAATAACTGCCTAAAAAACGATGAAAAATCATTTAGATTTGTGATGAAGTTTACCCAAATAAAGCGTATTATAACTTTTAAGACGATAAAATATAGTTAAAAAATCGAGCTTTCAGAAACTACGTGAAAATGGGTAGCAATAACTATTGAAAAGTTATTGGATTTACGACAAAATCGGCACACCCGAAGAACGTTAAATGTGATATAGTGTATCATAATAATGCTGTTTAAAATTATCCGAATTTTCGAAACTATGCATAAATCCATAGCGTCTACCCATACAATGCATGTAACCATCAAAAAACTGCATTGATTGAGATTGGGTACATCCAAAAACTTAAATGTGCAATTTCAAATTTTGCTTACTTAAAATAAAAAAAACCCCCATTTTGTTCAGGTTGCTGCTGCGGGCCGCACATCGAGAGTTGGTGGGCTGCAGATTGTGCACCCCTAGTGTACAGCATTACAAAAAGTTCCATACATTTTCAATGTTGCGATTTTTGGTTTTATAACACAGCCGAAAATATTATAATTCATTTAAAATCCTATTTTTTTCAATGTGAGTGTTCTCCAGTAAATAATGTGCAGCAAATTTGCCAGGTTTCTAAAGGTGTATATCACTTTTACAGTAAAGACATTGCACTTTAGTTTTTACTAACAAATTTATAAAAGTATACTTTGAACATTTAAAACAAAATATTTAGTTCCTGTAAATCTCATAAATTCTTTATTTCATTATAACTTTAGGCCACATAAAAATATAGAAGAAGGTTTAAGAGGGTTGTTATTATCTTTGTCAATAAAAGTTCAGCTTCTAATTGAGGATTATTCGTATTAAGATGTTGATTTTCAACCAAAAATAAATATGGAAAACATAAAAAGTAAAGTAAAGAATTTTTAATCTTTTACTATTTTCTGGTGTATTCAACTGTTGTTATATGTCGATTATGAATTGAAAGACCCAAAAATACAAGCAAACTAATTTTAAAAAAAATGTTTAACAAAGAAGTAGAGATAATTGTTGGGTATAATGGCACAAGAAAGAGTAGGAACTGGCAGTATTGAGATAACTTTTATAACATTATGAATTGGAAAAACAGTGATGAAATGGAGTTAAAAGCCTGACAAAAGAAAAAAACAAACAGCAGAAAGCTCACAGGGGTCCCTCAAGGTCATGGGTTGATAGAATAGGCTGAGAAATATAATGGTACAAGAGCCAGCATGCCAAGTTAAACAGCAACATATACTCAAGAGAAACTGATAAATGGAGCTATAAACTAAATCTGACATACAAAAATGATAAAAAGAAACATTCTTAGAACTCTTTAAGACTGCAGGATCTGTGATTTCTTGAAGAAGGAAATATAGGATAATAATAGATTTAAAAACAGTGGCAACTTCAAATGCAATAGGGCGTTGTTGATATCAGTAATAAAAAGTATTATAAATATTTTAGACTGCATGTAAAAACTTATATCACAGATCTCGCATAATGCATATAAGAGTGATAAAGTTTCCCTCAAAATTGTTATAGTTATGGAAAACACTTTAAGTCAAAATTATAATAAAAATCTCAGACAAGTTTTTATATTATGCAATATATAGACACAGCAATAATTTCCAAAATAACGATTGATAAATAATTTGATTTGGCATAATATCGGCACAAATAAACCATGTTAGAAAATAGCTATCTAAACGAGTGATTCGTTACTCGCGATTTTAAAAACCACGCGGAAATGCATAGCAATAACTGCCTAAAAAACGATGAAAAATCATTTAGATTTGTGATGAAGTTTACCCAAATAAAGCGTATTATAACTTTTAAGACGATAAAATATAGTTAAAAAATCGAGCTTTCAGAAACTACGTGAAAATGGGTAGCAATAACTATTGAAAAGTTATTGGATTTACGACAAAATCGGCACACCCGAAGAACGTTAAATGTGATATAGTGTATCATAATAATGCTGTTTAAAATTATCCGAATTTTNAAATTTAAAAAAAAACATGCTGTTTAAAACTCTTTTTGGGAGAAGTTATGGTTTGGACAGGCTAGGTGATAATTAGCTATATGAATCTTCTTATTTTTGAAGCAGAGCTTGTTATAACACTAAGATACTGAAATGAAGTTCATGAACTAACTGTTTGCTTCCCTTAATGTGCTGTAGATGTACTTCTTTAAAGATAAAAAGTGTATGCAAAGGAATGCTATATCTTATGTCTTCTGTACAGAACAAGGTAATCTCAACAAAACATTTTAACGCCTTATTTACATTATATATTCCTCAATTTATATTAGGAAACATTGAAATCTCTGTCACTTATGCAAAGAAAATACTATAAAATGCTGTGCGAGTTATAATTTTATTTTAAAAAATGATTTGCCTAGTTCAGACTTCAGAAAAATACTACAGAAATAAATACTTCAGAAAAAAGTAACAATAACAAGAAGGAAATACATTGTGTTCCATGAATAACTATAGACAATTGAAAATATTTGTTTTCTAAAGATAGTTAAGTATAAAACTTAAAAAATTAAATTATGAAAAGAAAAATTATTTTAGATAATGTATGAGTAAACCGATTTACATAAAAACAAATATTTAGCTTGACTTGTTCTGAGAAACCTACTTGCAAATGAAAAAGAGCATAGAATTCAAATTTCAAACATGTGTAGAATTGAAACTGTGGGACATATATGTCAAAATTTAACATCCATTATATTTTATGTTACTTTAGCATGAAGAATATCAGTAACTAGATTGACTGTTCTTTGAATAAAACATAATGAATATAATAGATTAGTTTTATGATAGTAATATATAAGCACCAAAAGGAAATAAAATGCAATTAAAGTTTAAGTATGCATCACTTTCTTAAAGACACAAAAGAAAATCAAATTACATAGATCAGATACAAATTTTAAAGGGAAGAAAATATATATATTTTTACATAAAACACTAGCACATAGTAAAAACTAGAAAAAATGAAATTAAGAAATATACATTTAACACATATGATTGAAGCATGTACCTCAATTTTTAAAGTGCTTATAATAGGGAAACATGAAAAAAGGATAAGTAAAAGAATCAATGGTATGTGCCAACAAGCTTCATTAAGGCTAGCCCTACATGTCATAAAGAACAAAAAGATTTAGAAAGGGAAGGTAAAAAAAATGGAAACTCTAACCTGGCTGGATTAGTGTTGCCCATGGAATTATAGGAGCTGCCGACTTGCGCACGAGTGGGAAAGCTGACACCATTACCCAAGCTGTAGCAAAAAAGTTATCACTGACAATGCTATTATGAACTAAAAACTTAACATTTAACAGTTTTTCTTAGCCTAATGAATTAGCTGAAAAAACTTAAAGTCATAACTTTTCAATTTCTCCTCAAACAATAATTTGAAAAGAAACCAAGATAATGATATTTCATGAAGTATTCTGTTAATATTAAAAGATATAATGCTAAAAATAACTATATTGGTTTAATTACAACTTAAATTTGTGAAAATAATTTGATATTACTCTTTCCCTATAAAGTATTTGCAAATCAAACTAGTATCAACCCCAGGAATTTTTTTTCAGACACTGATTTATTTTATTACTGAATGTTTCATAAACTAATATATAGATATTCAATTAAAACATATCTTGCATTTTTAGTAACGAAAAACATTAATTGTTCTTAGTTAAAAAGTTAAGATTACTTTTTTTAAGCACTGAAAGAATTTTAATATGCTAATTTCAAAAGAACAGAGAAGTATAAGATTTAGTTGAAAGGAAAAATATTAGTTTATGAGTATAATTATTACATTGAGAATGAAACTTATAGAAAACAATTAATGATAAAACTGTGGTTATAGACAGCTGAAAAGGCAAATCACTGTTCCAACCCCAATGATTAGAATAAAGAAGAATGTGATAGCAAAAGATTTAGAAGTAAAATAAAGTAAAATCAGAAGTGAAAGTAATAACAGGAATGTTTTTTGAATACCCGATTCCACCAAAGAAAAAAAAAGTCATACAGCTTTTCATAAATTCATCAAATGTTTTGAAATAATCACGAAAGACCAAGATAAACCAACACTTCGCCCCCATTTTTATTTAATTTCAAAAAGGTTTTACAAGCTTGTAACTGAGGGGGATATAAAATAAAACTTACAATGGCTTAACTTTTCACCAAAAAAATAGGCTGTATATAAATTCATTAAATACAAAATACTAGAAATCACTGTGTTTATAAATATAAACTTAAGTATGAATTTTTTCGTGTATAATCTGAATTATGAAATTACAGTATAGATATTGAGTAATACTAAGCTTGAAACTAAGGATTTAAAGTCAATAACTTTAAGCAGCATTCATATATGAAATTTTTGTTACATATTGCAATTTTGATCTCAATCTTAATTATTAAAGTTTAATGAAATGACACTTGATAGAAAAAAATTAATGCACTTTACGAAAACAAAGATAAGCAGAATTTAGATTTCATAAAAAATGATAAATAACTTATCATGAACAAAACGGGTTACATGTCAAAACTCAGAAAGCGTAATAAAAAGAGTTTGTCAACAATTATTTGAGAAAACTTCATAATACTACTTTGGCTCATAATAATTATTAGTTAGATTGCAAGATGTAAGGTAGTGAGGACATATCACATGACAGACTTACAACAAACAGCATGGTAAAGAGAAACATTTGTTTTGCAGAACATGTTGTAATTTAAATTTTATGTTTTTTGCTAACTAACAAGTGACTAATGGTCAGTCAAGTTTTTACTGACTTACTGCAGGAACATAATTAGTTGCTTGCTGTATTAAGATTATTCCTTTTAAACACAAGCCTATATGATGGGTAAGATGAGTATGAGACATTAGAGAGAAATCAGTAATGGCCATTCTTAATATATACTGAGTGTCCACAATTTAAGTTCAGATTTGTGAGCAGTTAAAATCAAACACTATGCAGAATTTTATGAGAAATAAGTAATGACATAAATAATTAATGGAAATTTTTCTAGTTAAAAAATTAGTAACAAAAAAGACTAATAGATGGTGCTTCTCTAAACAACTTAACCTTTTAGATCCCTAAGACAGGAATTCTTGAGACTTTTGCCTGCGATGATACTTCAAAAACTTGGTCTAATATGATCAAAACATGTCTATTTTTGAACTTAAAGATGGCACACCACGAGCATATAATTCTTTCCAGTACACTACTTTCAATGATTGAACACACAATTTTCTGCTTCAAGATAAAAGCAGACAATGGTGGACATCATATAAAACATGTCTAATAAATGAGGGATTTTAAGCAAACATCAAAACAGTTTGACTATCAGAGGTAAAAGTGATCAGTTGAATTAAGGCACTAAAAACATCTTTTCATCATGAATTCAAATTAATTTTGAGGCTTTCAGTTTCAACTCTCTAAGAAGCAATTGGTGAGATTCAATAGCATTTGTATCTTTTCCTGGCTTAAATGTTAATTTGCAAGCTTCAATGCTAATGCTTATTTGCAGGGCTCGAAAAAACTCAGAAATTTTACCCGTCGCCGAGGACGGCTTGTCCAACAATGTACCCATCCTCCTTTGAAACTAACCCGTAGCTTCTAAATAAATAAAAATATAATTTTCTCTTATTTATTACAAACATTTATATAAATTGCACAATGAATTAGTAGATACTAGGATTACAAATACTAGGATTACATTATACAGTAATAAAAGAAATACTAGGTTACCAATAGTAACCTAGTATTTCCTTCATGAAATAATTTCTTTCTTTTATGAAATAATTTAAATGACAAAGGTCAAGTTATCTGGAATGTCAATTTATCCGAGGGTACTGCGTTTTTTAAATGAATCAAATATGACGTTTGCCAGTTCCACAATCAAGCCAATGATTTACAGAGGTTTCTGCACAGAAATCTGAAAGGGGTTTTCCATTTAGGTAGATGTTCATAATTGCGTTTAACGCTTCTTGTTTAAGACCAGTACGTAATGTGTTTTTTTGTAAGTTCATTGCTGAAAAACCTTTTTCAACAGCTGCAATACTCCCAGACTGATAAAACATCAATTCCACCATGATCAGTATGTTGCTGTATTTCTAGATCAGAGGGTGAAGTGAGGCGCTAAACTCTTGTAAGATAACAAAAATTGAAAATGTATCACGAACATTAACGGGAAAATGGCCGTCCGCGCCGATGTTGGATTCGAGAAATTTGTTGTCCGCGAGGAATTTTTGACTGCCGAGGACGGGCGGTTTTTTGAGCTCTGCTTTTTTTATTTAATTTTTGACAAGGATATTAAAATTTATTCTAATGATAGCAGTTAAGAAATAACCTGTTTAAATACATAGTTTAATATTCTTACCTTAATAAATAAAAGTTTTTAAATATTTACGTACTTATATGTATATCTAGATTTCATCTTTTTTAGTCTACACATTCCCATTACACAGAAGATAAAACCATTAAAAACTATGTGATATTTGCAAGTTACTAAAAATAAAATGTAATATGAGCATTGCAGCTATTAAAATTTTTAAAGAGAATCAGAATAATTTCTGAAAAAGGATTTACCTCAATGGAAATTTCAATAGTTTTATTAAAAAAATACTTCAAGTATATTTATATTAAAAGTAACATGTTACGGTTAGCATTTATTCACTAGGTCTTAAAAATTATTATCCAACCCATTACTTCTTTGAAAGAAATTCTTAGATAGTTAATCTTAAAAATTTTATTTTAAGGGCACTTTAATGTAATAATTTAAAAACAAAAATTGAATTTTACATGCTAAAATGTGAAATGATATTTTCTAAATTGATCAATATTATATCTGGAGAACTAGAGGACCAGATAACATAACACTTCCCAAGTTGTTGAATAGTAAATAAAAATTAATTATTCAATTCATTAATTTTTTTTCAAACGGCAATGAAAAAAAAAATCAGTGGCAAAAATATCCCTGTAATATAATTTAACAATACCTATAGTAATCGAATTTTCGTGTAAAAAGCTCCAACTTTGATCTGCTGAAATATTTGGTGGCTCTTTACTCAAAAATAACATGAATTGCTCTTAGAAAGTATTAATAGAAGTTAATAATTTTGAGCTAAATTTAAGTTAACAGAAATGAAAACCAAAAAAAAAAAATTATCAAAAAACTATTAATTATTAATAAAAAATATCATATTTAATTCTTAATTATATTTATGCGTTATGTGACACAATAGTTATAGAATTGAGCAAAACTTTACAACTATTCTATCAATTTCTGCGTTCCGTTTCTGGTAATGAAAATATTTAAAAATCATCACTTTTAACAAACAAATTTTGCAACTATTTTACTTTTAGTACACAAATGCAAAATATTAACTTATCACAAGAAATTTGAGTGACTTACATAGAATTAGTAAATATATGAAAGTATGGTTAAGGAATTCTGCAGGATAATTTAGTTACCCAAAGATATATAAGATTAAATTTGAATAATTCAGGGTAACTTGGTAAGTTGCTGATATGTCTTATTTTTTTGTGGAAAAGTAAAGACGAAGTTTTTTGCACATTTTTCACAGAGCTTCTCTTGTTTTCCTAACAAAGGAACTTTAAATTTTTGCCATAAAAGACTAAAAGAAAGAAAAAATTACTTACACCAGCTTTAAGTAATTATTGTTTTGTTGTTGCCCCTCGTCACTTTTGTTATTGCTTTCTTTATCTCTGACAGCTTCAATTGCAAGAAATACTTTTAGGTGTTTCACCTAATCATTGAATTTTGAAGCTTTTTAAGTTTTCCCAATCATAAGCAATTTCAACCAACAGTGTAATTTATATGATGGAAATACTTTACAGAATATATTTTTATAAGATAATTTGTTTCTTTAATTTTTTTAAAAAATCTCAATTTAAAATATGTAGACTTAAATTAAATAAACACAAATAATACTCTAATTAAAGCAGAGTAACAGGATTCTGGTTGCTTGTGTACTGAGAACAGTCCAGAAAACTGGCTGCTTGAGTGCATTTATTTCTAACACTAGACGACACTACACAATGGCAGTAAGACAGGATGAATATCAAATAAAAAGTAATCAAGTTTACAAATTAAGAAAATTTCATTAATAAGGGAAAATGATCAATAAATTTCAGTTTGAAAAGCTTGTGACAGTTACCATACCAAGTTATGATAACTTTTAGGTCAGTTACAGGGTAAAATAGTAACATTGGAATGTGGATAGATAGGGAATGAATCTGAAAGCTATGGATATGCCAGAAGGAAAGAAAGTGCCTAACTTTTATGGTAAAGTGTAAGTTTTACTACTGTCAAAACTATTGGCTCTTTAAAGGATTATGTTATGGTGTAATTAAAAGTGCATAATTAAAAGAGCAATCTCACAGAATATTTTTTGGACTATTGTCCAAAAAATGTTGTGTGAAATTGTAATTAAGATAACTCAAGCCATGGAGATAGCTTTTAATGATATATAGAAAATAATTACATAAATTTAACAATAAGAAAATCATCTTAATATGAAAACAAAATTAAAAAAAATTCAGATATGCAACATGCTTCTTCCCTAAACCTTGAAGAAATTATTAATGTTATAGGGTTTCTTATCTAGCAAATAAATGATTTGATATGAATAAATGTCCCAATAAATATAAAACATACTGAAAGGGTTATTTGAAATGAAATGAAAAATGTCATTTGAAATCAGATGAAAAATGATTGTAGAACTAAACTTAAAAGTGATTTTAAAAATATTTTTGCATGTTGAGGATGAGACTAAAATAAATTTTTAAATTACCACAGATTAAATATGTTGAATGTAAAAATAGACAGTAAAATGGTTAAAATGCAATTAGCTAATGAAGCTTCTATATCAACTGTGTTACAAAGCTTACCTAAGAAAATTAACTCGAGAAATGAAATTAAAGATGCGATTTGTTATTGATTTTGACCCGTTAAACTCTGGACAAAAAAGTCTCAGTATAAAATCAAAAGTATAATTAATTATAAAGGTCTATATTTGTGTGATAAGAGTCTTTATTTGTGTGATTTATCATTTAGTTTAGACTGGTTAAAAGATTTTAAACTAAATTGTCATAAAAAAAATTTTAAATTGTGAAAGAGAGTTAAAATTATAAAACTTCTATTGAACATTACCTATATTAACTGAATATGCTGATGAAATTGAAAAAAATAGTTAAAATTTTTAAAACTAAGGTTATATTAAAAGAAAACATTAAACCTAAATTAAAGAAATCTAGACTTGTTTCATGCACATTAGTCTCATGTAAAATGAATAGTCAGTGTGCTACCACAATAGTACCAGTTCTTAAACCTATTGATTTAGAAAAAAAAATTGTGGAGATTTTGTAATAACTGTCAATCTATTGGTAAATGTTATCTTCAACTAGGTGTTGAGGATATTTTTAAAATAATTGCAGATTGTATAATGCATTTTCTAAAATTGACTTTTTATAAGTATATTTACGTATGGAACTAAATGACAACATATTAAACTAGAATATATCTGAAACTTTATTATTAATAGATTATACTTTGGAATAAAATCTGCACCAGCAATTTAACAGAGAGTAATGGATCAAATATTTAGAGATATTCCATGTAAGGTTGTCTGTGTTAAAATCCAACATTCAATCCATGCATTAAAATCCACCCATATGGTTTTTACATCTAAAATTAATTATAGATAAACACAATTTATAAAAAAAAAGTAACGACCATAGTACAACAAAAATGGACTTTTTATTAAAGTATTTTTAAAATTTAATTATTGAATGGATGCTAAGTATTGAATATTTTAAAAGTTATAAAATATTTATTAATACAATAGATAAATATTTAAGTTTAAATCAACACTATCTATAATAACAAAATAAGTAAGTAACTTACTTGTAGCAAGAGCAAATTTGAATTATTGTTTTAAGCCCTTTCTATACCAATTCAGCAAATATTTTATTTTTCTCAAAGAGTTGTAAGATATCCACTATTAACATTAGATCAACATACTTTACCAGACTCATTAGATTAATAACTTTAGGTTCTAAAATATGACTTTTTCACAAATATTACAAAGAAAAATAATTATATATATATATATAACTCAAATATTTCATCTGCATCACAAAAGTATGTACTTAATAGAGTAACACAAGTAAGAATGAAACAAATATAATAGAAATGTGAACACTTAATTAATAACCCAATAGAAACTTTATGAAATCTATTAAAGTAACTGCAGGTGATACAAATAAACCATCAGCTATTTAAACATAGCAAGAAACAAGTTGTATTGACACTAGGAAAAGGCACCATCAGCCGTGATGAGGTCTTGGAATAAGTAAGCATATTTAATCACTGGAGATAGTCATTAGTTTGTAATGATCCTCTCAATTTCATAATGAATGATAATAACAATAAACAAACTCTGATAAAGAAATTAAACAGCATTAGAATATAAATTTTCCCTATTAGTGGGTCAAAAAATGCGATGAATAGTACACATCATTCTCTAATGTTGAATTACAATAAAAAGAAAAGAAAAAAATTCACTCCTTATATTTTCAAACTTGAAGTATTAATACTAAAATACAAGATTGAATTTCTACCTTTCTCTCTCTATGTAATATATATTTAATTTACTATTATATCACTTCTATTATATTTACTTTTCCACACTAATGAATGTACCATTCTTTAGTGAAAATTATTTGCCTTCCATTGATATAAGTACCTTTTTACTGACTACAAAGTTTAAAAATTTGCAATTTCAACCCCTTGTCATCATTTCTGAATTTCTTTTCTAGAATTCAGTAGCAATAATCACCATAGGCTTCTTGATTTATGAATAAAATAATAGCATATGTTTTGTCCCAATATAACAGCAAAGCAATACTAAATTTTGGTGCAAATACGTCAGAAATTTTGGACATTCCTTTTATTTTAGAATTAACATAGCCAACCAAAATCTAGTAATTTCAATTTAAATTTCTAAATATGTATTAACAAAACATTATTGAAAAAAAAAATTGAGATTTTTCAGGAAAAAAAACCTTTTTCAATCTTTTTTAACTACATAACTTTAATTTTTTAGCCAAGTATTTTAAATTTCAGAGGATGAAGGTACTTTGTGATAACCTTTCAGTTTTTCTTTTGGAAAGATAGAAAGTTAAAAATGCATCTGGCATAAAAGAACCAATGAGTACTCTCTGAAAACTTTGCTTTCACCAGCATATTTAAAACGTTAGAAATATATAAATTTTGCCAATTGGAAGCTAGTCAACAAGAAATAATCATTGCCAACCGAAAAGCTTTAAAAATAATTTTTTCACTTAAATTTAGAATCTCCATCCACTTATTTAGCCAAATTTAATGATCAATATCATTCAAGTCATACTGTCGAAAATGTTAAAACATATCACAAGATTATAGTAAATTAAACCAAATAATAATAAAATGTTTAGCTTAACATACTTCTGCAAGAAATTGACGTTTTCTTTAAATCAAAAATAACATTATTTTGACCACCATCATATGCCAAGTGATCAGTAAAAAAAAGTTGACAGTGACACACAAAAATATACATTTAAGTTAATGGGGAAAACTCAGCATTCATGGAACTTTTAATTTTAATTATGTTATGTATTTCTAATAGAACACAATGGATGATAAGAAAAACAAGGTGTACAGCTTGGAAAGCTAAAATATTTCTGCAAGTCCATCAATATCACACCAATGACCTTCTCAAAATATTTCAAACCGTTTTCTATCATAAATTTATTTCATATCAAAAATTACGGATCGTTAAGAGGAAAACCCCCAGTTTTCTGACTACATTAGTGTAATATTTTCTGCAATGAGCACTATACTACTCTAAGGACATGAACAAAATTAAATGAAATGTAATTATTAGGTCTGATTACATTTCATTTTTAAATTAATGTTTAAACCAATCATAACAAATAGGCTTTTATCAATGACTGAAATTTTATTACCCACCTAATTATAATATTTTAATATATAAAGCATACCTGGAATGCACAGGTAGAAACCATTTTGATTTTTCTTCACCAAATATTTCAGTAAAGTTGGCACGTCTTCCCAAACTAAAACCATCTTTTTCAGGGCCAGTTCTAAAAATTGGATGCCGAAATGACTCTAAGAGAAAAAAAATATTAAATAACATAAGTCTTATAGGATTTGAAAAAAAAAAAAAAAAAAAAAAATACATACTTTTGAGTT